TTTATTTTAAGTTTAGATTTAAAATGTTTAGGGAAAAAATCGTAAAATGTTTTTGAAAAAATATTATTATTTTATATTGTTACAAATGTATATTATTGTATGTATTTAATTATATATAAATTATTAATAAATTGAAAAATTGTGTATGATAAACATGAAATACCAAAATAGGGTTTTGTTATTAGAAAAATAATCTATTATATTCGATTTAATTTTCTTTATTATCAATTATATACATATATACGATATGTATAAGGTTAAATGGTGATACCTGTTATAGTTTTAATAACTAACAGTGTGCTCTTAATCCTTTGTAAAATTATTGTTAAGAATCATAATACATCATTTTTTATAAATACTTGCGAAATCTTTGAACACATTGTACGTATTTTATAATAAAAAAGTTTGGACAAAATGATAAAAAAATAGACTTAAGTTTAAATTTAAAATAAAATTAAATAATATGAACACATACCAATAATATATCTATAGCACCTAACATCTAAATATATCATAGTTGAAAGTATTTTGCAAAAGAATGGCTAAAGGCTATTCATATATATATATATTTATTTATTATCTTAATTCTTTTAAATCGTTAATATTTGGTATTATGACTGAACATTATTACTCAATTTTTATATTTCGTAGTCAGTGAAGACTAAGATGCGAAGTCACACCTACTATGTGATAAATAAATTTCAAACATATTTTATAAAATATAATATACCTAATAGCCAAAAAACTTTATTGAAAAATGTTTAAAACATTTAGTTTACAGTAGTGACTTGGTAATTTTTTATTAAAATTTGCCCTTATATTGAAATCGCACCCCTGGCTCATATCCTCTTGCTCTGCCCTGAATTCAGCCCTGTATAAAATAGGTACACGATTTATTATACTGTATTATATTTTTATAAAACCCTAATAAGTATAATAATAGTGTGTTGAAATATTTTAAATTGTTTTCCCGCTGTTGGACAATAATATTAAGTACTGTGCAGGTGTCGATATTTTTGATGATTAGTCTGATGATAATATTTGGATTTACTGTTATTCTAGTTATATTCACATTGTACTGCTAGATAAGTATACTATTATAATTTAAATAATATAACGTCTTTTCGATTTAATTTTGCATATACAAAAAGCTTTCCAATGAGATTCCGTCATCCCTAAACATACTCAAAACGCACGCCTTCCCGAGAAACGGTGTCGTGCACGTTTATACGCGATTCTCCCCTTCGGTGTCATGCAGTTGCTCATGTCTATATTAAATTACTTTTCCGTTTGAGTGAAATGGATTTCAGCGAATCCATCGCCGAACAACACTTAATATTTTCCGGCTATATTTACAAATGTATATGTATATGTTTTTTATTTTTATTTTTTTAAAGTTCTGTTGGTCTCGCATTCAAAGCGGGTGTGTGGTGGTGCGTCATGTTTACACAAAACGAAGATATATTTACCAAAAAAAAGAAAAACCGCTGACAAATGTTCCATTTGGAAATCAAAAAGTCGACCGAGCTAAAAACACGGACACGCGCACTTTAATATTTGCTATTTGTAATTTACTGTGTACACTTGTATACTGGTATAGGTATTCCGCTGCACCACGTATGTGTACGTACGTATATATAACATGTGCGTTTTCCTTCGAATCCCCGAAGCGAAAAAGACGTCAATAAAGCGTATATATGTCTACGGATATAGGTCCTGTTCATATTATATTATATATGGTGTGTTCGACGCACGCAAGATGAAGGATAAACTTCTTAAGGTTCTATTACGCGGCGAGATCGCTCTCTCCTTCCATCGATATGTATTCTTGTAATTTTCACTGGAGCACGTACCTTTTGATACATTTTCATATGAAACGGGCATCGTTTAACATATCTCTCGTTCTACTTTGCTCCGCTTGTATACAACAAGTGTATATATATATATATATATACCCCCGAGATCGCAGTTTTTGACGGAAAAAATTGTACCTCTTGGTCGGCGATAGGGACGGCGTGCGGTAATGGATTAGTTTACGATACCGTTAACCTCAAAGGGCCGTGTGGCAGCGGCGGCTTCCGGAAGTCCGGAGTCAAGGATAGGGGTAGCAGTCTTGGAGGCGTGGATGGGAATGGTTGAAGCGTGGCAACAGTCTCGAGGGCGGTGTACGTCCGGAGAGGTATCGATGGTGGCGGAACGGTGGCGGGAGAGTCGTTTTCGGGGAGTAATTGATGAATGAAAGTTGGCAGATTAAAACTTTGTGCGGCGGAAGCGATCGGCATTCAGGGACCGTAAAACGTAATTAGATTTGCAAAAATAAAACCAGAAGAAAACAATAAATAAGGCTTACCGAAAATCTATTGCGGCTCTCGCGGAGAAACCGTGTGTATACATATTGTATAGGTGTATATAATACGCGTGCGTGCGGTCGCGTTTTTGTTTGTACTTTAATCTCTGTTGCGGCGTCGCCTAGGGAATATCATTCTGTGCGCCGGCAAAAGATTTTACTAATGCAGTCGTGTACGTGCACGCGTGTGCGTGAGCTCGTAGTGCATACAACAGATTCCTAATGAAAAACGAATTTTTAACGCCTGTGCGTGCATCCGACGCGAGGACAACTGATACTCCTCGCCAGCACCGTTAACAGCCGAATTATTAATAACGTGTGCACAAAGTTTTATTACTGTTCGATACCGCTGCAAGGAAAATCGTAATATCTAACGGTGTACACTACAGGTACAATATATACGTATTGTCGGCCGAATGCAGTAGTCTTTTCAGTGCATTCGTCGAACACTATTTTCAATAAGATTATATCGGTTCGTCGTTATAATAATAAAAAGAAAACTTTCGAATTTTTTGTGGCATAAAAATGCAATGGTTTTTTTTTTTTCAATAATTTGTGTGTACGTAATCTATATACTATCTTTTGATTTTGTAGCAGCTTTATTTTTCAATACCTATAATAATCATGTTTCGATGGACGTTTTAGTAACGAAACGTATTAATTTTCATTCGTTAGGCGATCGAGTGCTGTTGACTTATAATATAATCGTGAAAAAACCACCACCGATTATTATCAGCGAATAATTTTAAACTAGTGTTCTACCACCACTACATAATGTATATATACTTGTAATATGCGCGCGCACCCATTACCTGTGCAGCATTATCCATCTCATGTATGATTTAACGAACTATATATTTCATTTGCTAAATACGTAATAAGTAATTTCGAACGAATGTCTTCGTGTTATATGTATATACATTATTATATAACGTCATTCAGTCGGTGTAACTCGTATGCACATGTATATATGCATACGGAGGGGTTCAAGTTGGAGTCGGCAATGTCGTTAGGTATCCTTTTATATGCATTAAAATTACGCAGATTTCAAGTATATGTGTTTGTGTATGAAACTGTGTGCGCAAATGTATGATATATGTGTGGTAAGTATATATAAAATCCAGTCTTAGAAATTTTCCGTTTATGTGAATTATACCGTTCTACATCGAGTTCAAAGAATCTCTATATAATTCTGCGGTTTAAACCACAACTAATAAATATACATATATGTATATATATGATGTACTTATGTACTATACTGAAAGTGCTACAGCCGTTTCAGATATGCTATTATCTAAGACCTACCTATACATACATACCGATGCTATATATGTAAGTATGTATACAAATTGAAATCGTCACAGTTTTTATTTCTTTCGATCGGCTATATGTGTGACTCACTTTGAAAATATTCTCGAAAAAATACTTCCACTGACATGGTATTTTAATTTTATTTTTGAGAAAATATCATAATTAAATAATTTGTATACATCCGCGATAAGTTTTCAGTTTAAAGTTGATTTCATAAAAAATTGTATATACCTACGTAAAATATTTGAACAAAAGTTAGTTAAAATGAAGATTAGTCTGGATTATTACCATAAATATTGTTAGTCAGAATTTTTTTTATTATTATTTTTTTTCCGTAAACTTTTACTTCTTATTTAGATAACGACTTTATTTTTTATTTTTCAACACATTTAAATATTTAATCAATGTACACTATTGTGTAATATTTTTTGTACATAGATATTATAGAGTATAATCCATAAACTATATAATCATTATATTTTAATTGCTATATTCAATACCCTATATTTAATTTTCATTTTATTTTTAATATTGTTATTGTTAGGTTTTTTTTTTTTCGCCTCAAACATAATTTATATTCATACTGGTAAATTGAAAATCAAAAATGTTACGAACCATATCAATCATTTTACTTTATTTATACAGGTTGGAATATAAACGCCTGAAGTGTATTTTCAATATACCGACAAATTATATTTGTTTAGAAAAAAAAAATGCATTAAATAAGTTTTTTCATAAAAATAATATATATACATATATATATTATATATTGTTTGAGAGACATTTTGATGTAGGTATCATACAATTTTCGAAACAATAGCTATAGTATTTTTGCTAAAATCTTCAAGTTTTGACTCTCGAAAAAGTTTCACTGCTCTATAAAGAAAACTTTGATCTAAATGTTTTGACTGATGTTATCTAATTTTAAAACAAAATGGCATTAAAAGAACGAAAAATAAAAACGGAATAGAAATTAAAATTGATAAACAAATAAGTTTAAAACATGTTGTTAGATTTAATCGGAAAACGTCGTGTTGAACGACGAAGGTAATTTTTTTACCCAGTGATTTCATAAAACAAAACAAAAACTACATTTCGAGTTAAAAGCATATAACTAACGCGAAGCACTTGTATATTAGTTCATGAATACGATATATATTATTTGTACGAATCCGTAAGAAAAACGGAAACAGTTTGAAAGTACGAAAGTACTCGTATAACACACCGGTATTTTTATTCGACCGGAGGTATTTCGCGATAAAGTATATTATAACGCATATTGCGCGCGTGATGGAATATTACGACTAATGTATTATGTGTTTGTCTTTTTTTTTTTTTACAGATATTTTCACGTTACGGCAAAGTGCTGAAAATCGTCACGTTCACCAAAAATAGTGAGTAAACAACGCAGTATTCGCGTGTGTGTACACATGCGTACGTAATTACCAACTACTACCCCGGTCGTGATGTACATTATTTGCACGTGATTTATACCGTACTAATAGCACGTATATTATTATAACACCCGTCGGACAAACATAAATCGGCGCGTGATTCGCGTAAGACGGCGCGTTTATAATCGCCGCTTGTACTACCACCTCTACGCATTATTATACGTATCATATTTGCTCTTGTATGTAAACGCCGTAGACGTATCCGGCGTACGTGCACTCACGAGTACCGTAAAACTGCATCAAATGTCTTTTTCCCTCTGCCCACCCCGGCGACACACTCCCTGTCGTCGTCGCGTTACCCATCCGGCCGACGAGAACAACGCATTTATCTTGTCCCTGCGATCTATCACCACCGCCGTCGGTACCGTCGCCAGTATGTGCTGCAGCCACCAGCGGCGTACTGCACTCGCGCGCCGTGCCTTCGAGAATAATCCTTTTCTCTGGAAAACAATATAACGCGGTTTCGTCATATCAAGAAGTTTGTGTGTGCCCGGTCCCTTACAGACAATTAATCATATCTTCATTTTGTTCTCGCCCCCGTAGTGTTGTCGTCGTACATTAATTAACGTTGTGCTACATTACCTAAATCCCCGCCGACCCCGCCCACAACGCCTTCGGCACCGCCGAAATCGGTCTTGCGGGGAGAGCCTTTATTTATTCTACAAGAGAGAAAAAAAAACTTATTTTTTACGCGGTATTATGTGTATACATTTTTTATTCGCACCCCCTCCCTTCTTGTTTTATTTTATGTGAAAGTGTGGTGCTGCAGTACGTGAACAGAAAAGAACCGTTTAGTACTTTGTCCGCGCAAACTTCGCTGCTTTCGATAAACAATACAGTCTCTTTTGTCAACATGCCGCCGTAGCTTTTCCATTATTAATACCGCGTGCTCGTTATATTAAATTAAATACCCATATTTATACACATATAATGATTTGTTTTTCCTCCGCTGTTTTCCAGACTCGTTCCAAGTGCTGATCCAGTATCCGGACGTGGTCACCGCACAATCTGCCAAATTGGTAAGTGTGTTGTCAACGGTCGTTTTACAATAACGTGTACATAAATATTATATACGTGTACGTGTATATAATATGAAATATAACTTTATATATATATATATATATATATATATGTAACACATAAAATGTGAAATACGTGAAAAACAAAAACAAAAATGCCGGTACTTTTTTATCCATGTCTGAAACCATACAGTCGTTGGACGGACAAAATCTGTTTCATACCGGTCATTTGTTCGACCTGTCGCATTTGAATAACGTAAGTTCAGGACCTAACGTGCATAGCCCGTTTGTATATTTATATATGTGTGTGTGTGTGTGCTCTTCTTTACTTCGATTTTGTTATTATTATTTTATTTTTTTACTCTTCTACACCACTATCATCCGCCACTGCGCGCACCTTTTTAACGTGTGCGACGGCGACGGTCTACAATAATAACTATAACGTAAACACTATTACATTGTGTACTGTAGTGTCGTCCATCTCACCATGTAGGATTACAGTTTTGTTTAACCCTGCGGTGCTGCCTACGAGCAACAGCAATCGTTGATTAAACACGCATTGTTTTCGTTTGTTTTTCCTTTCTTCTAGACTCCGTAAATAATTGAATTCGTTTATAAATCTTCTGATTTATTCGCGTTCAAAAGTAATTGGATAATTGGTTTTCTCGCTTTAATTGTAAAGTTTATCGACTTGTGTCGTCCGCGGCGCGTGACGTGTACGCCAATAATTCCGACGTGACCTAAATGACGGCAAGTACAAATCTCTTTCACTCTCTACCCCTGTAAACGTCGTTATGAGGGGTGTGTACAAATATGTTTTCTATTCTTTAGAATGTCCCTTACCCCGATATGTTTGAACGTATATATATACGTTATACTTACTAGCAACGTGTCACCGACTAGGAATAGTAACTGGACGATAATAGGATGCTAAAACCCTTATGTTGACACCCCTTCCGTAACTATGTGGTTACGTGTTTGCTCACTGCACGTTTTTACAGAAATGCATCGTTCGAAACGAACAAACAAAATAATTGTTCGATATTTTTAATAGTCGTGCACATTTATATTAGAAAGAAAATAAATCAACGAAAAATTATAGCTAGTAATGTTTTGAATATGTATTTATTATGATAACCATACATTTTTTTATCTCCCGAGGATGACTCGAAATCCGCATATTTACATCTTCTTTCCTACTTAAAGCTACAACGGCCTACTATGATCAATGTACATATGTCGGCCGTGTCGCACAATAGTTTGCATCCATTATATCGTTTATTTTTCTTTCTCAATTTTTTTGTTCACTCTCTTCGTCGACGTAGTGATTGGTTTTTCCGTTTGTTTTCAAAAACGTTTTTTTTTATTTTTTTTTTTTCAACGTTTTCTTACTAATTTTATTTGTTTTCGCTTTTTCCCCGCCGCTGATACAGTCGTTGGACGGCCAAAACATTTACACATCGTGCTGCAAGCTGCGCATCGAGTACTCGAAACTGTCCAGCCTGAACGTCAAGTACAACAACGACAAGTCGCGCGACTACACGAACCCGACGCTGCCCAACGGTGACAACACGGTAATGGAAACGCTGGCGGCGCTCGGCGTGGACTCTGTGGCCGGCAATCAGCTGCTGCCGCACCAGCTCAGCTTGCTGCTGTCTGGCGTGCCAAACGCCGCCGCCGGTATTCCCCAGGCCCGTAGACAGCTGACCACCAACGCGGACCACAGCCGGCTCGCGGGTACGACACCATTCTTATGTACCTAACTGCATACAATATTAAATGTTATTCGTACACGATCGATTTTTTGTACAAACACGTATTCGTGTTTATACTACATATGTGTATGTGTGTGTGTAGGTATATATATGTCAGTGGTGGATCCACGTGGGGGTTAATAATATTAAAAATCAATAATTTTATGAATTAAGAAAAAATTAATTTTTTTTTTTTTAGGTATGAGGGGAAGTATAATTTGTATTTTTATTCGTATAAGTGATTAGTAGTGTTAGATTTAAATTAATGTATTATATTACGTACTATTAGCTTAATTTATTATCAATCACTGACTGCAACGTTACAAAAAATATCCCTAGGGAAAACATTTTTCAACACCCCCCCCCCAAAAAAAAAAATTCCTTTATCCCCACTTATATATATATATATATATATATGCGTATATTGGGCTATTTTTCTATGTTTGTTTTAACTATACGACAGTGACGTTGTTGCATTAAAAAAAAACTCGCTAATTTCATTATATGAATGCATTATAATGTATTAAAAATGGCTATCGTGATTTTTGAAAAATGCCTCGAAAATGTTTAAATGCAATAAAATTTAATTAAATATTCTAATAAAAAAATAACTTTTTTTTACATTATTTGTTACAAAATAAAATTACCTAAATATTTCAACAATTATGAAAATCGATTAAATTTGTAAAATTGTACTAAATAAAAAAAAAATAGTTTGATTCGAATTTACATATGAGTGAAACATATTTTAAGAACACTTAACAATAAATGTGAACGCCTACGTATAAAAAAAAAAGAAAAGAAAAAAATGTAAATGCAATAACTTCATTACCTTAGTTAATAACACCCGGTGTTATCACACACTACTCACTGCCGCTCTCTCACCCGTAGGAATTATGAGATCGTCACTGCACGGGAAATTGAAAAAACAAAAATACCCCCCCCCCCCCCCCCCCCATACAATCCCGCACGTTAAGTCGGGTTTACGAGAATATTAAAAAACGCAATTGTGTCGCGTATAAATATATTATATATTGTTTACGTGTACGTATGAAAATAGAGTAATACACACGTATGACGTAGACGAGAGAAACGTTACCCCTCACCCGAACAATACACCGGTGCAGCAGCAGACACATATAACATTAAATGTACGATGAAAATCGATTGTTTTTTCGCGTTTTTTATCGTTTGATTTTCCGTGACACCACTCCCTCGCGCGAAGAATAATAATTTTCGTCACTGCACGACCGACACCGAGTTCGCTATGCACACACACACCCCGTGCACGATGTGTGCTAAATAAATTATACACTGACCTCCCGCACACCCGATTGCTGACGAAATGAATTGTTAATGCTTTTCACATTTTTTTCTCTCCCTTTTACCTACCCCCGCGTACACCGATAATTTTATACGTCGGTCGCCGCGATAAATTTAATCGAACGCACGCGCGAAATACATTAATTAATAAGACCGAGCGGAAACGCATGTGTATAATAATATATACGAGTCGCGGTGACGGCGAATAACTCGCATTTTTCCGGTATTATTATTTGCACGGAATTTATGGCGATCGCTACCCTCCGGAATTCGCTATGATATTCTTTGCAGCCCGAAAAACATTTCCCGGAATGTTCCAAATTCGTTTTTGATGTACCGAGCGCCACGCGACTCTGTGTGCTGCTGCTGCTGCTGCTGTTGCTGTTAGTAATAAGGTCCGCCTCAGTAAATGTGTACGCAAAGTGGAATGTTCCGTACAGATTGTAAAACCGAAATATAAATATGTGGGCGCGTGCGTGTATATTAAAAATCTCTCCCGGGAAAAAAAGAAGGTACATTGGACGACGACGGGTGTTGAGGAAAAGGACAAAAGACATTGTGCGTACGTGTATTTAAACGGATGTACACGCGCCTACGCACACACTCGCTGTCGGTGCATTGGCGTGAGGTCACGGCGACATTATATTATACAAACAATAAGTCAGAAAAAAAACATTACAACGGTTCTACGCGGTGGTAATGGGTGGTGGTGAATAGATCTGTGTTCTCGTCGTCCTTATACGAAACCGTGTAACACATAATACGAAATAATAGATGAAGAGGTGATAATACATATACAGGTACTGCGAGAGAATTGGTTTTTTTTTTTTTTTACTTGTTTTGTTTTTAATCACGAGAAAGCGCGCGCGCTCGAAGGGGAAAAGTCGAAAGTCGCCGCGTACTTGATGAACAATTCCGTTTATCATCTTATTGATTCAATGCGTGTTCGTTTTCCGGAATCTCCTCTTGTCGCGTACGAATCCAATCTCGATTCGTTATTTTATCTTTCGGGCTCTCATTCGTGTTCCTGCTCACTCCGCCACCGCGTGTTCCTTTGGCCGTCGCTATCAATCCTTGTCAATTCGAGACATCATTACCCACGACCGCAGGCAGGTATATGCTGTACAAACCGTTGCGATCGTTGATCCCGTTTCTTTTGTTATGCCTCGAAAGTCCGAAATTCCTGCATAACAAGGTGGTTTATCAAACGGTGGGAGGGCCGGGTGGGATAGTATGATTAATAATATACTCTGCTGCGCCGTAAAAATAATTTTACTCGTCGTTCGATGCGATTTCTTGCCTATTCTTTTCCACACATTCGCTACACATCAAACACAGGACGTCTAAAGAATATTACACGTTTACAGGCACATACTTTAGGAGGGGAGATAACGATTCCCCTCCTCAGATATTGTATTGTAGTAACCATGAATTAGGATATACGGTGTAGGGCGAAGTAAGGTATTTTTGAGGCAAGGTATTGAACGTGTAATATAATTCCCTATTACACGATTGACTTGAAAATTATATTGATCCTTAAAATGACTGGGTTTTTTAAGGATCAATGTAATTATCAAATCAATCGTGTTATAGGGAATTACATTATACGTTAAACAAATATCACGAAAATACCTTACTTCTCCCTACCCCTCTTTATCACGCATAACTCGTATTTTGGCCCCAATAATTTCGAAGAAGATTAATCGCCCCCTCCTCAATAAAGCATCTATTTTCGTAACTGCATTTCTATTACCGAGAAGTTTCTTCTTTTTCGAAAATATATATATATATATATATATATATATTTTGTTAAGAATGTGCTTCAAATTAATTTGATTAATTTTTCACGTACGAATCAAGCTTTATTTTTACTTGTCCATGCATTATTGTGAACTTAACATTATATCTTCACAGCATGTTTAGAAATCGAAACGGTTACTCTAATCGTTTTGTAATTATTATTTCTCAAACGAGCAATTAATAACGATTCACAACAGTATGAACGATGAGCTATACCTAATTATTATATAATATATGTCACACACACAAAACTATTTGTGATAAAATTAAACTTTATAACTGCGCTATGTAATATTTAATTCGCGAGAGGTTCGTTTTATGAAATAAAAGCTATTAATTATTGCTAAATAACACAAAACATTGTTGTCCGATATTTCAGATGTGATCGTTCCGTGGTAAAAGGCATAATTTTATTTCGTTAACACGTATTTATTTGTGATTTTAAATCCTCCCCTTTCCTCGGACATAAAATAACCTTTTAGAGATTAAACTCATCCGCCACCAATATGGTAAAACTTCTAGACCCAGAGCCAGCGTATGGCACAATAAAAAAATACATACTCTATACTTATAGAGGTTACATTTTTTCAATAAACACTTGCGACAGTATAATTATAATGGTAAAACGAAAGTTATAGATGTTGAGCTGTATATATTGGCTGTGGAATAACGGAGCAGTGACGATCTCTGTACGAGTAAACATATATTTTTATTTTTACATTTTTTAGACTGAATGTATCCGCGTTGGAGGTGCCCGACGCTTCTCCGCGGTACACCCTGTACCCTTTACACACACATAAACACGTGTACCGCCCCCTGTTGGGACGACCGTCGATTGTATTGTACCTAATGGTTTCTGTTTTTGTTCCCCTCCCCCTGTGTACACAGGTAGCCCAGGCATGTTGACTCCGTCGTTCAACGCCGTCCATGGACTTGCGTCGCCGCTGGCCACATCGTTCGCGAACACGCCCGTAACGAGCATGCCGCTAGGCTTCACACTGCCCGGCGGCTCGTTGGCGGCCAGTACGCTGAGACTCCCGGGTCAGATGACCGGACAGACGTGCGTCTTGTTAGTTAGCAACTTAAACGAAGAGGTGACAGAAGCGATTTCATCCGCATTATAAATATTACATTATAATAATAATAATAACAATAATAATATTATCTGTATGGCACCGATGTAAGGTGGTTAACATATTGCGCCGACGTCGTGATTAATACATTATTATTGTTTATCACTGTGTCCTATGATCCTCCGCAAGGCGATCCTTGACGATCGGCTGTAACAGTGGCTATGACCAACCTCTCCACCGCGCGATAACTGCGACAGCCTTTCGCGTCGCCATCTGTTGTTTTTATTTTTTTTATTTTATCACATTATTTATAGCAAAACATTGCGTATATTGTATGCATACCTTTGTATCTGAAAAACGTTGAACTTGTGCACCCCGAAAGTCGTATCGTATACCCTTGTCCACCTATCCTCGTTCCACCTAATTCGTACTTCATTTTTATTATTTCTATTATTATTATTATTATTATTATTATTATTATTATTATTTTCATTATTACTATTATTGTTCATTCATTGTTCAACTGATACTCAAAGAATTCTGTTTTTCTGAATTTTTTTGTTTTTGGCTTTCCCTAACGGTGATGCTACTACTACTACTACTACTACTGCTGCTACTGAAACAAAAAAAAAAAACAAATCTGTCTCTGTCTAACTCTGCTGCCACGGACACATCTTTTAACTCTTTCTACGACCAAAAATATACAAAATTAAAACACTTATCGCTTCGTAGATGGTCACGCCAGACGCTATTTTCACTTTGTTTGGTAGGTGCATATATACTTAACTTATACTGTTATATTTATTTTCATTTTATATACATAATTATTTTTATCTTATTAAGTAAAAAAAAACAACCTTCAAGGTAGATGGAAGTGTGTTATACCTTAATATCCACAACTCATTTATCCTTATGTATACGTCGTATTAGTTTAATTTCTATTATACTTCCAACTGCCTTGATTTTTAATTCGATACCATTCAGATGTATACCTTATATATGTTATTATATGTATTTTCGTTTTTAGTATACTTATTATTTTCTTCTTTTGATTACAGACGATGCATGTCTCCCTATAACAATACTTTTTTTTTCTTTTAATTTTTTTTTTATTTTTTCATAATATGACATGCAAAATATTTTTTCATAGCTCATTTTTTAAATAATTTTTTTTTTCATATGCCTCATTTAGGTGTATATGGAGACGTATTACGCGTAAAGATCTTGTACAACAAAAAAGACGGAGCTCTGGTACAAATGGCTGAACCGCATCAAGCACATTTGGGTAAGTTAAAAGTGGAAAAAAACTTGATTGCCGTCGTGTTCCGTTATATCTAAGCTTAATGATATTCTCTGCTTTCTAGCCATGCTACATTTGGACAAAGTTCGCCTGTATGGCAAATATATTCGAGTGATGCAGTCCAAGTATCAGACGGTTCAGTTGCCTAAAGAAGGACAGCCTGACTCTGGACTGACAAAAGATTACACCTCGTCGCCTTTGCACCGATTCAAGAAACCTGGTTCCAAAAACTACCAAAACATATATCCACCGTCGTCCACTCTGCACTTGTCAAACATACCGTAAGCATATACGTAATTTTATGTCCAAGACAACCGTCACTACCCCAAGTATGTGAGATATTTATTGGTTTTGTTACGAATTTTCAGGACAACATTGTCGGAAGATTTCTTGAAGACTGCCTTCGAAACCAACGGTTTCACCGTCAAAGACTTCAAATTCTTCCCGTTAGTATACCTGTATACTATCATTGTATACGCTTACGGCTTTTAACCGATTTTATCTTCCGACCCGCCATCAACGTTTTCGTGTGTGCTAACACACACTCACTGCCGCGGTCGCTGTTCTCGGTTTAATATAATTTCTAATTGAATGACTTTGTGTTTCAGCAAAGACCGCAAAATGGCGCTTATACAAATGGAATCCTTGGAGGAAGCCGTCGCCGCACTTATCGTAAGCATAATCGTATTATGTTATATCCAACTCGTATTTCATTGCGTTTTCACTCGGACACAAACGGTTAATGTTATTGTTCTTGTTTTTCCCCCTATCTGTAGAAGATGCACAATTATCGGCTCAGTGAACAAAATCATCTTCGCGTATCGTTTTCAAAGTCCAACATTCAACCGGACACACTGACACCCAACTAGGCTCCTTCTCCTACGCTTTAGAATTACTGGACAGTGTTGCCGAAACGCGCGACAGTCAATGATCTTTATGAATACGACTGTGTTTTGCAAGTATTTTATTTATAATATTATTGTTTCATATTTTAAATTTAATCGTAAACAGTATTATATATTTTTTTTTATTATTATTTTTTTTTTTAATATTATTATAATTATTCTGAATTTTTTTACGCGATTAACTTTTAAATGTTTCTATTTACTTATTTCTCTTGGCGTATTATTTTCGCATATAGCATTTACATGTTGATGATTTTTTTTTTCAAGAATTCCCCTAAGTGTCTTTATACTTGTGTATTATTTAATTTATATCTATTATATGTATAATTTTTAGGAAGACCATTATTAAGGTCATTAAAATATTTATTGAATATATATAAAAACAAAAAGCATTATTTTAGTGGTAGAAAAACTTGTCACCAAAGGATGCGAGGAAAATGTGTAATATGAAATCGCACTAAATCTGTGTGTATTAAAGAAACATATTAGTATTATTTTTATTATTATTATTATTATTTATAATTTATACTATTTTTTATTCTACTATACAATTATGTTAATTTTTAGCGAAAACAGTTTAATTTTTTTATACACATACCATTTCTTATGATTTGTTAAGATGAATAAACTGTTTATTTTTTATTTTATTTTTTTATTTTCTGGTATTGTATAAATCTCGGATATTCATTTAACCTCCGAGTTCATCATCATTATCGGTGATTGGTATAACGTTTTGATTTTTTTTAGTGTAACGCATTTTGTTATTGTACGTATTTTATTAATTATTATTAATCCAACTGAGGTATTGAATATCCGTTAGTGTTTATACATTACCAATTTTTTTTCCTTACACTTTTTACGTTTCTAATTATGATTTTCCTTTTTTACATTTATTTTTATTACTATTTCTTTTATTTATCGCACTGAAAAGAAGTGGACATATCGGAACTCAACGATTACAATCAATTCTGTATTATAGCCAATATCTTCTAAATTTTAATTGTTAAGTTTTTTTTTTTAAAGTTAAAAATTTTTGTCAGAGTATTATGTAACGATTTATGTTTAAAACTATTAGTATAAGTAGAATTTCGGGTAAATGTTTTTTTTTTAATGTAGTTGTCGTTTTTGGTGTAAGTTTAACTATTGTGTAATATAAGATTATTCTTAAGTACTCGGTAGACCGTTAGTGTGTAATACCTAGTTATTTTTTAAGAATGAATGCCAATGTGACAATCAAAATTCTAAATGACGATTACGCCATCACACGTAACGTCTGCAACTGTTCTTGAAAAAAAAAATTAACAGACGCACGTGAACCTAAACAATACTCCTGCAGATTATTTTTGAAACTGCAAATTATTATCATCAACCCGTCTGTCACATATTATGTGTATACGTACAACTCTTCTTAGGTTCACCGTGTGTTTGATCTTGAAATTTCATTTTTCACGAAAACATTGTAAACTTATGATAATTAATATTGTTGTTAACTTAGACTTACCTTGATGATGTCCTCGACTTGTTATCGAATTTGTTATCTAATCGATGACAGCCGTTTTCGTCCTACCCATGTCAATTCGTGCGCTAACTAAGCGTTACCTGCAATAATTTTAATATATTTTATTTAGACATTATTATTGTGATTAGTGTGTACTCACAACAATCATAGCTAAATAACTAGGACAATCGTTTGTTTTGGCCCCTTGGCCCAGACACATTTAGATGTATTTTATTAACAAGTGATAAAAAAAAATTATCCCTTTTATCGTTCTCTTTACTGTCCCCGCCAGTCTACCATTGTATTAATCCATATTTAGTGATTTAAATATAATGTTTTTAATTTAAAGAACATGAAAATGAATATGTTTTCTTTTAATTTTTTTTTTTTTATTACAATTGTATAGAGGTATATTATTATTATTAATTATTAATTATTATTAGTTATTACATAAGGTCGTATTCTAGATATGATTTTTTTTGTGTCACTATAATATTATATGTTTAATGAAATAATCGCAGCACACGTATCGTTTTTCTTCACACTTCATCTATTTGCGTTCTGTTTGACTTTCTATCTTTCTCTGTCTATATGTATGTGTGTACACGTATAATATCTATACTGTCGTTGTTTTATTTCTATATAAGTCTTCTATGCATACCTCTTGACATTTTCTTCTACCCTTATAACATATTTTACTTGAATTGGTTGTAAAGTTCATCAACGGCACGACGGTTATGTTACATAGACGGACGACTACCGCACTTAAGATGAGACCGGTGCCGAGCGTAATTGTCGAGTGGGATCGAAGACGTTTGTCAAAATATGAAACTTTCCGAAGGGTTTGAGGGACATGAGACAAGACATTCGATCCTTAACCTGATCCGATCCTTACGGAAAAATTGCATAAACCTATAGAATTGCTCTCTGACCACACTTGACCTAACCTTCGGCGAATAATTCGTTATGTACACAGGGCGTGCTTCCGAAACGAAATCTTCATGGATAAATATATTTTCTTAAACGTTGACGAACGGAAATATCGTTAAAATAACATTTGAACTATGAAAAATAATAATTCGAGTCTGGTGTGGATTTATATCAATTATATACCATAGCAGATAAAAAAAAATAATTTTATTAATTTTACCCTCACGAACACCCGAAAGACGAGGATGTAAAACGTGTATGTGAGCACTCGTGTTTTCTGGTGTTGGCGACATTTATCTTTTTTTTTCCATGTCACGCACCTTAACAACTCAACTCGCCATCCGGTCGAACGAGTATTTTTCAGTAATTATTATTATTAATATTATTGTTTCTATCGGAACTCAAGCAACCCAAACAGCGGTGGCGAAATAACATCACACAATACCTCATGTTTGATCAAAATTTTTATTTATTTCAATAACGTGTTCAAAATATTCGTTTACATTTTTGAAATTGAACACCCGTCATCGCGTTCCGCAGCTATAAATAAAAGACACCGCGTTATTGCCGTCGCCCGTCCACGTATTTTAATGTACTTTTTGCTCCTCTTCCCGCCAAAATGGACAATAACTAGTTTTTTTCCACTCTTATCAGCCGCGTTCGAATTTATATCTTCCTGCCATGTTTACCGCCATGACGCCGTCGAATACGATTGACTGACACGCGTACATTGGAGGTGTACATAATATATTGCACAAAGGGAAATGACGTTCTTCGCGGTTCGGTGGGATGGGACGGGAAAAAAATACATTTTTAACCGGTCAAAATTGTGCGTGTACGGATACCGTGAAACTCCCGAATTTCGAACGATATCGTCGGCTGCATCGCGCAATCACTCGTCAATCGTATCCACGACTATCCCATGAAACATCGATCGAATCCACGATCGTTTGTTATGATTTTGTTTTGTTAAAACGCGTATGCCAGACATTTTTGATTCCCGTCTAAAATCTTGGATTTTATTTTTTATTAACCTGAACGCTGGTAATTTTTTTTTTTTACTTTTGGTCCTCGGATGAAGATAATTAAAAGACCGAGACATCAACCACATGATAACAATTCTCGTAACACTATTTTTTAGCCGACTATCAACAAAACAAGAACAATTTCTCTAGCGAGATTGCCGTCCTGTTTGTGTGCATACCGCTCGCTCGGGCTACAGTGCATTATTGTCCGCCGTTTAAATTTCTGAAATTAGTGCCAAAGTCCAAAAGTTATACGTAGTGTAATGTGAATAAAATTTAAAAAAAATTGTATTGACATAATAATATTGTACTTTTAAACATATATGTATTTATCATATATAGATCAAAACAACTTTATAATATATAATATCGCAATCAATTGATAATCAAGTAGATTTATATTTTTTTTAAATCAAACTCGACAATCATACGGGGTGTATAAACAATCACTAGTGTTACTTCTTACTATTATACGATATACATATATATATACTATAATTATAAACGACGTGAAACATGTGTTTGTTTTGTAGAAACTTTATATGTATACCTAGATATCTATACTCTATACTTAGAAATCGTTTGAAAATGTATTACTTAACTTTTAAACGTTGTGTACCATATTTTTATCTTTTATTCTTGTGTATCCCACGTCATGATTCTATATTATTATTTTTTCGTTTTCCAATTTTATTTTTTTCGATTTTTACTGTACATGTATTTTTATGACTGTAACATTTTCTAATTTCTATTTTTCAAAAGAAACGAAAAAAAAATAATAATTAAATACACAATTTTATCTTCAATTTATATCTATTTTGTATTTTCTTTCTCTCTCTCACTCTCTCTCTCTTTCTCTCTCTCTCTCTCTTTCTCTCTCTCTCTTTCTCTATCTTTCTCTCTCTCATCTCTATTATGTTATCATTCTTACTGCAGTTTTTCTTTAAACAAATATATATACTACAGTGTATCAACCGTTTAGCCGCTTTTGATACAGATAATTTCGAAAAATCTCGCGTTCTATTTTTAAAAAAAAACCTAATATCAGAGCAAACCAGGTACGCCGCAAAATGTAATCAACATTTCAACGGAGACGTCAAGAATCGACAGATCAGATATTTTCAAATAATTGAAAGATATCAGCTCTAAAAGATTACCGGTAGACTCGTTCTTTGCGTTTATTCCTGTAATTGCAATTGATAACATTGTAAAAAACGACTCGCACCAGAAATCCATTAGCATTTCGCCTCGTCGATAGGAAAACGTTTCCGAACACCGGTAGTTTTTCAACGCAATTTATTTTTCGTCTCTGCTTTTATTCGCCAACGTATCGTACCGGGTGAGCACACCGCCGTGGAAGTTGACCGTGGTAAACGTTATTGCGGTCGAACAAAGAGCACAAACGAAATATGCACGCGTCATATTCCCAGTCCTCGGAAACCGTTTCTCATCACCGCCACCCATTTACCGTACGAAACAAATGTTTATTGCACGTATAATACACGTTTTGCACCTGTATGACGGTAATCCCTTGCCGGCGTCCCTGTCGTTTGCGTACACGCAATGTAATTATAAAACTCGCGTCCGGTAGTCGTGTAGTGCGGTGGTAACTGCTTTACACGCGGTGTTCGATCCAGCGGCGTACGCAGGAGTACATGCTCTAACCCTC